GATGATGCCACTGCACTGTAGCCTGGGTGCAGAATGAGACTCTGTTTCTAATAAATAAGTAAGTAAATTAATAAATATTAAAATAAAACAATAAATAAATAAAATAAACAAAAAAACATTTCAGCACCTGAGTGAAAAAATATCTACAGCTGGTTCTATCACTCAAGGAATTTAGAGTCTGGGCAGGGAGACACAGGGAATCAAACAGATGTGCCCAGAGTTAAACTTGCTTTTCCTTCCAAGACTGCTTCTCTGACCACCTTCCCCATGGCAGTTGAAGGCAACTCCTTCCTTCCTCAGGCCAGAATCTGCAAGTTTTCTGTGGCCTCTCTCCCCTCTGCCCCTCATCCAATCCATCAGCAAATCCCTTTGTCCCTGCTCTCAAAATACATCTAGAATCCAACCACTTCTCACAGGCGCCCCCTACAGCCTGTTCTGCATACAGCAGCCAGACCGATCCCCCTCCCAAATCTCACCTCCCTAAAATATATTTTCTTTACCTGCTACCGCCTAATAGGCAGATAACATCTGCCCCCTTCTTATCTCTAGGATGCCGTCTCCCACTCCCCTCACCACTCTAGCTACACTGGTCCGTTGGGAGGTTCCTGCCTCAGGGCCTTTGCGCTTGCTGTGCCCTGTACCTGAAATACTCATCCCCATTTTCTGCACTTACTTCATTTAGAGCTCTGTTTAAGCTCACCAGCTCAGAGATGATTTTTCTATCAGCCGGCTCTCACTAGATTTTGCTGCAGTAATAAACAACTCCAAAATCTTGGTTGACTGACATCAATTTCTGACTCATGTTACACATCAGCTGCAGGTTGGCTGTGGCGCTTCTGCATCTGTCTTCTTCCCAGGATTGTGGCTGAAGGAACAATCCTGAGACAGGTAGTGAATCTGACGGAAGGAGAGCAGTGAACGAACCAGGCCACAGCTTCAAAACTTCTGCTCAGAATCAGCCGATGCCACTTCTGCTCACATTTCATTGCCCAAAGCAAGTCACGTGACCAAGCCTGCTGCCAGCAGGGCAGGGCAGCAAGTAATTTGGGAAGAATAACACACTCAACCAAACCTTCCTTGACCACACTACACTAGCCTATACCCCTCCAGAATTCTCTATCACCCACTCTCAGTTATAAACAATAGATACCACTGACTAGTCACAGCAGAAAAGCTAATAGGTACCACAGTTTGCAGAACCTCTGGGGAGGACCCGAGGGAGAGACTGAGCTGTACAGGAGAAATCATGGTCAGCATCCCATGAGGATGTCTCTGGACTGGACTCCAGGAACCTCAGCCCATCCTCATCTCAAAGGACCAGAAGCAGGGCTAGTGGGCTGCATAATTCCAGGGCGATATCCACACTATCAGCTCCAGAGTTCCCTGCGAATAAGGTGTGATTAGCCCTCACCACCTATCTCCACCTGGCCTCCCACATGAGCAGTTCCAGCAATTTCCCCACACCCAGCCAACCTGCCTTGCCACTGCCAAATGCAAGTCCATTGGAGAACTCAGACTTGCAGCCTCCTGCAAAAAAACACTAAAGCTGTGAATTTTTTGGTTTCCCCCTTAGGAAGAAAGGACACATTAGGGAAAGTGGAGGTCTAAAGTGTTGGTCAGCCACAAGGAAGGGGTTCTGAAGACATTGTTCATCTCCTCACCCTGCCTTATTTTTCTTCATGGCCTTGACCATGCTCTGATATAATTACCGTGTTGTTATCTCTCCCCACTTCCATCCCAGCGTGGAAGGTCCAGGAGGGCAGGGACTTTGTCTCTTGCTCATGCTGCATCTTTAGCACCTTGAACAGGACCTAGCACATAGTAGGTGCTTGGTAAATGTGTGTTGACTGAATGAATACAGGGGACAAAAAGCCCAAGACAGGGAAGGCCAAGGAGCTGTAGGAGCCAGAGGAAAGTCATTTCAGTGAGACCTCCAGACCTGAATCCCCCAAGGCTCAGGGGCAGGGAGGCGTCAGGACAGGGTTGTCAGGTGAATTATACAGCTCCCTGGCTCAACCCTCTCATTCCAACTGACAGCAACTTCCCTCTGCCCCATCCTCATCCAGATCTTAAGCAAGACATTATATTTAGGCTCGGCGCCCAAGGCACAGTGGTTAGGGCACCAGCCACATACACAGAGGCTGGCGGGTTTGAAACTGACTTGGGCCAGCTAAACAACAATGACAACTGCAACAAAAAATGGCTGGGCATTGTGCAGGCACCTGTGGTCCCAGCTACTTGGGAGGCTGAGGCAAGAGAATCTCTTAAGCCCAGGAGTTTGAGGTTGCTGCGAGCTGTGATGCCACAGCACTCTACGCAGGGCAACATAGTGAGACTATGTCTCAAACAAACAAATGGGAAAAAAAGACGTTTTATTTAATTCAGCCTTTTTTTTTTTTTGAGACAGTGTCTCATTTTGTCCCTTTGCCTAGAGTGCAGTCATGTCATCATAACTCACTGCAACCTCAAACTCCTGGGCTCAAGTAATCCATCTTCCTGCTTCAGCTTCCAGAGTAGCTGGGACTACAGGTGTGCACTACCACACTTGGCTAATATTTTGTAGAGATAGAGTCTCCCTATTTTGCTCAGGATAAGCTTTTTTTTTTTTTTTTTTGAGACAAAGTCTCACTATGTCACCCTGGGCTCAGGTGATTCTTTTGCCTCAGCCTCCCAAGTAGCTGGGACTACAGGTGCCTGCCACACGCCCAGCTATTTTTCGTTACAATTGTCATTGTTGTTTAACTGGCCCCAGGCTGGGTTCAAACCCGTCAACTTCAGTGTATGTGGCTGGTGCCATAACCACTGTGCTACAGACACCGGGCACCAAGCCTCAAAATGGTGTTGAACCCCTGGCCTAGAGCAATCCTCCAGCCTCAGCATCCAACGTGCTGGGATTATAGACATGAACCACCGTGCCCAGACTAACTCAGCCATTTGACAGCAGCAATGACCTTTTGGGTTTCCTATGTATTAGTATTTGTTGACCCACTTTTAAGGGGGTCGAGGTATACCAGCCACCAAAGCCCCTCCTCATCTGGCTGACCCTCACCACATCCTAGGCCCACCTCTCAGACTCTCCCGTGTCTTGACCCCATCTCTGACTCCATCCTACCCCCACCCATCCTTGGCCCTTCCTTGATTTTGCTGAGAGTCTATATCATTTTCAATATGTTCAAGGCCAAGGCTTTAATGGTTTGTTTTCAGGCCAGTGTCCCCATTTCCTTTTTTCTTTTTTTCCTTTTAAACTTTATTCAAATTAATATGAAGGTACAATATTTAGGTTACATTGTTCTCACTTCCAGGATAAAGTTCCATTTATAGAAGAGCCCCTCACCTAGGGAAGTGCCCCATTTCTGTCACTGAGTCAGACACGCAGTGAGGATGAGGGAGGGAACCCTAAATGTCAAACCCAAACATTAGCAGGTTGGGGGTCAACCTCTGTCCACCCAGCACTGAGAGGTGGGGTAACTCCAGACGGTGACGGCATCATCCAGAGGAGGAACATAACAGCAGCCACAGCTTCCCAAATTTGGAAATAACTAGGCAGAATGAGATGCCAGAAAATTCAGAGATTTCCAGGAGACCAGCCTCTGTGTTTCCATTCAGAAATTCACCTACATTCATTCAGGGTGAGAGAGACTAAGCATTGGACGGTGATGAGCAGGCATTAGATTCAAGTCAGAGAGGGCAGCCAGGGACAGAACCCTCCAAACTAGCCAAACCCAAATAAGGAATTTTATAGACAGATACAGGGATGTCACCAAAGGGGCCAGAGCTCTAGTTGGAGCTCGTGAAGACCCTGGTCAGGGTAGATAGGGAAGGGGTATTGGGGGAGGGGGTGGCAGGAGTCTCTCTGGCTCCCTCTCTGACTCTCTGGGTCTGTCACCTCTCATTTCTCATCTCACTCTGTCTATTCTATGTCTCTGACTCTTTCACCTCTCTCTGTCTCTCATCTCTCTGGCTTTTGTCCTCTGTTATTATTTTTGAGTTTGTTTCTCTCTTGCTGGATTCTCCCAGTCTCATTTCTCTCTCTCTCTCTCTCTCCCCTTCCCTACTGTGTGTGTTCTATAGCCCTTACTGCCCCCAGACATGATGGCATTATGCATATTAATCTGTTTATGGTCTCCCCCCTCCCCCCTCCATAGAGAACGGGCTTAAGAAAGACAGGGATTTTTTTGTCTGCATTATATTCTACTGTTTCTCTAGTGCCTGGAATTCTGCGTGTCTCAATAAATATGTTTAATGAAGAATGAATGAATATCATTCTCATGAACATTATTATTTGATGGCAACTTTAAAGCAACAATAATAATTGTCGTTCCTGCTGCTGTCATTGTCAGCATAGCTGCTGTTTTTCAACTACAAACCGTATGTTAGAAACTAAACAGTTTCTTGTTCAAGCCTTACAAACCGCTCTGTGAGGTAAATATTATCATGCCCATTTTTCAGATAAGGAAATTGAAGCCCCTTGGGGCAAAGTAACTTGCCCAATATGAGCCCAGGCCTTTTCTGACGCCAGAGCCCTGGGTTAGGCTGAGTGGTTAACAGCCTGGAGGTTAACAGCTCAGGATCTGTCCGATTATGAGCGGTGAATCTCAGCTCTGCCATTCAGCAGCCGCCAGCCTTCATTAAGTTGCCGAATCTCTCTCTGCGCGCCTCAGATTCCTGACAGTAAAATGGGGGTCCTCCTGTCAGAAGCGTCCCGTGGCAGGTGCCCACGGAGCAGGCGCAGAGAGAGGGCGCAGTGACTCTGACTGCCAACCGCTGCGCCTCCGCTGCAGGCTCCTCCTTTTTCCCTAGTCCACCAGTCTGGACACAGAAGCGGGTTTCCCCTTCCCGCCCCCAGGCACCTGCCGTGAGGCCCCCAGGGGATTCCTGAGCAAGAGCTCGGGAATCCAGAGTCGTAGTTGCGGCCACCCAGGCAAAGTGAGAGGACGCTGGCGAGCGAGAAGGAGCCGCGCCCCCTATCCCGGGACCCAGCTTCCCAGAGGAGGCTCGGCATGGCCGGATCGGTGCCCTCCGCGTGGCCGCTCCTGGTCCTGTCACTTCTATGGCTTTTCTGTACACACACGGCAGCCGGTGAGTGAAGCCCACGCCATCCTGCAGCTCCAGCTTCCCTCCGCCACCCCTCCGCGCCCAGCCGGGCACTCAGCCCTCAGGGTCCCCAAGACTGCCGGCTCTACCCTTCGTCCCGACCCCCACCCCATTCCGCTGTTGAGGGAGGGGGGGTCGCGGTGGAGGAAGCAAGACTCTCCTTTCAGCCGTGCCCAGGAAGTGGGTAGAGTTGGGTACAGAGATTCCGCGAAAGGCTGGTGAGTCTGGGAACAATCAGCCAAGGGTGACTCACTGGATTACCTTATCTCGAGCTCCTACACACCCAAGTCACATCTCTACAGCCTACTGAATCTACAGGAAGATGGCTGATAGGGGGAGGGACACACGACCCCATCCTCCTCTGACCCCAGATTTCTGACTGCAAGGGCCTGGCCATTCATTCATTCCTAAATTCATATGTCCATCCACATACATTTATTAAGCACCTACTAGGTGCTGGGCAGTATTCCAAGTGCTGAGGATTCAGCTTTGAAGTCAGACAGCCCTGGATTCAAAACTCAGCCCTGACATTTAATACTTGTATGACATCAGGAAAGTTACCTAAGCTCTCTGTTTCCATAAAATGGGGGGTGGGGGAGAGGGATCTACCTTGTAAGTCTATGTTCAGGGAGGATGCTGGGCAATGCTGGACTCAAAGCTGGACTCAAAGTAATGTGAGGTGGTGAGGATGCTGGTCTGGGGCCTGGGGTCTGGGTTAAAACTCCACTTACTCAGAGCCACAAACCAAGTCCATGGTAGAGCCCACATTCAAACTCAGACCCCATGGCTCAGCGCCCATAGCACAGTAGTTACAGTGCCAGGCACACGCATTGAGGCTGGTGGGTTTGAGCCTGGCCCAGGCCAGCTAACTGACAATGACAACTACAACAACAACAAAAATAGCCAGGCATTGTAGTGGGCACCTGTACTCCCAGCTACTTGGGAGGCTGAGGCAAGAGAATTGCTTAAGCCCAAGAGTTTCAGGTTGCTGTGAGCTGTGATGCCACAGCACTCTACCAAGGGTGACATATTGAGACTCTGTCTCACAAAAAAAAAGAAAAGAAACTCAGACCCTAAATATCAGACCAGCATGCTCACCACCCCCCAATTACCTGGTGCCCCCACTGTGCCCTCCCTCCACCTAGCACTGTCCAAGCACCTTTGTCTGCTGTTCCCTGCTGCTTCTTCCTCATAATTATAATATTCACCATTATAGTGCTTATCATCATTTATTTCATCATTTAATCCTCCCAACAACCCCCATTATCACCCCCCCCTTTTTTTTTGAGACAGATTCTCACTTTGTTGCCCCTGGTAGAGTGCTGTGGTGTCATAACTCACAGCAACCTCAGACTCCTGGGCTCAAAAAATTCTCTTGCCTCAGCCTCCCCAGCAGCTGGGATTGCAGGTGCCCATCACAACACCCAGCTATTTTTAGAGGCGGAGTCTTGCTCTAGCTCAGGCTGGTCTTGAATTTGTGAGCTCAGACAGTTAAAGTGCTGGGGTTACAGGCATGAGCCACCTCACCCAGCACCACCCCCATTTTACAGATAAGAAAACTGAGGCTCAGGAGTGAAATCACCTGCACAAGGGCCCACAACTACAGAGTGGTAGGGCTGTGGTTCAAAGAACTTTACACCTTCCCACCGTCTCCAAATCTTACTATTATATATGAGAATGTGCATTAATATTTATTAATGTCCATAAGAGCTAACACATGAAGACCTACTCTCTGCTGGGGCCCTAGGCACACAGATTTTCAGATAGTGTTTGGTGGATGAGAGGCTCTGAGTACAGACACCTAAGTTCAAATCCCAGCTCTATTGATAATCCCTGTGTGATTTGGAGGAAATCGCATGCTGTTTCACTTTCCATCTGTAAAGTGATGTTTAGGGCGGCTGTGCTTGAGGATTAAATGCTAAGAGATGCCCTCAGAATAGCCACTGATCTAAGCATCCTGTGAGTGTTCACTGTGATAAGTCCTGTTTTACAAAGTAGGAAAAAGAATCACAGGTTAAGTAACCTGCCTGAAGCCTCAAAACCGAGCCTTGAAATGACTTAAAACCCCTGGGCTAATTGTCTTCCTTCCTGTGCGGATCCCTAACCCTAGTTCACCCAGGGTAATTTTGTGGATTCTAAGACCAAGAGTTTCTTCTCGTTTTCCACATTGGCAATACTCTAACCATTCTCCAGGAGTAGTGCTGTAAACAACATCAGTGACTTAAAATTGCACTGGGGCTATAAAAAGGTTCGGGAAAGACCATGGACGATGGTAACCTTTGCACAACATTGGGAAGGTACTTAATGGCCACTGAATTGTACACTTTAAAGTGTTAAAGGGTCTTAAATGGTAAACTTAACTAGATACTGGTAAGCGTAGTGGTCTTACATTGTGAAGGTACTTAATGGCCACCGATGTAAATGGATTAAAATGGATTTTGTGGCAAAATTGATTAAATGGTAAATTTAATATTTTAAACCACAGTATTTACCACAATTTTTAAAAGCAATGATACCGAAATGGAGAAAATACGGTAATAGCGGAATATACGGCCAAGACAGCTGAGGTGAAGGAGTCACAGGGCCCATACCCGGTTACAGATTCACCCCGGGCGCCCTAACCCTTCTCCCTTGCCCGGACCTGGATTCCTCTCCCCTACCCCATCCTGGGCCTTCCGGGCCCCAGCGTGCAGGTACACAACCAGGTGCGTGGCCTCCCTGTTTAGGCCAGGAGATCAGGGGTCTACCAGGCGTTTTCAAACTACGGCCCGCGGGCCACATGCAGCCCGCCTAGGACATTTATCCGGCCCGCCAGGTGTTGTTGCCACCGCTGCCTGTCCTGCTTAGCAGCCAACTCGTCCCGGGGCCGGCAGTCCGGCCCTCCAACGGTCTGAGGGACAGTGAACTGGCCCCCTGTTTAAAAAGTTTGAGGACCCCTCTAATCCTTTCTCGGTTCCCTCACCCGACCCCCGCAGGAACCGGGACTGTCCGCGTGCAGGCGCCCGCTCAAGTGCATGGCCTCTTGGGGGACTCTGTAACGCTGCCGTGCCACCTGCAGCCGCTGGGGCCCGGCATGCAAGTGACGCAGGTGACATGGATGCGGCAGGAGCTGGCGGGCCAGCCCAGCAGCCTGGCGGTCTTCCATCCGGCGCGGGGCCCCTGGTACTCCGATCCCGGGCGGCTGGAGTTCGTGGCCAAGAGCCCTGACTTGCTCAACGCGTCTCTAGTAGTATCCCAGTTGCGCGTAGAGGATGAAGCCAACTACACCTGTCAGTTCGCCACGTTCCCGCAGGGCAGCTCGAGCAACAGTACCTGGCTCCGCGTGCTGGGTGAGCAGGAGAGGGTGGGAGGTCGCGAGAGGAGCAGGGAGGTGGGCCAAGAGGAAGAGGGCCTGGGAGGGAGGGAGAGTCCCTCCACTGCAGGGATTCTCTGGGAAAGGAGGGAGGGCCATTTGTGGGAGGAGGTTGTTGGGAGTTCCTGCTGGGCTGGAGCGAGTTTAGATCTTCCATAGTGAAGAACTTGGAGACTGAAAGCAGACTGTCCTGGGGGCAGGATCAGTTTTCTCTTCTTCCTTCTTTTCCTTTCTTTCTTCCTTCCTCCCTCCCTTCCTTCCTCTTCCTCTGTCACCCCAGCTAGAGTGCCCTGGCATCATAGCTCACAGCAACCTCAAACTTCTTGGGCTCAAGTGATCCTCTTGCCTCAGCCTCCAGAGTAGCTGGGACTATAGGCGCCCACCACAAGGCCCAGCTAATTTTTCTGTTTTTAGTACAGATGGGTCTTGCTCTTGCTCAGGCTGATCTCAAACTCCTGAGCTCAAGCAATCCAACCCCCTTGGCTCCCAGAGTGCTGGGACTACAGGGGTGAGCCACAGCACCAGCCTGGGCCCCTCCTTTTGTAATCTATAAAAGGTCCTGAGGGTCCTGGTGGGTTTATCCAGTGAAGCACTTAGAACCGAGGTCTTTGTGGGCTGGTCCACAGAGGGCCTTATAGCTATCAGTCATTGTCACTCTCCTGCTGAAGAAGGAGAAAGCTGAAACAGAGACAGACAGGAGAGCAGGGATCCTGACAGCCTGCAGAGGAGCATTTTCTAGCCTCCTGGAATCATGGGTTAGTATTCATGAGCACCATGGCATCCACCTCTTGAAACCTGAGCAAGAAGTCTCTGTGCCTCAAGTGTCCTCATCTGTGGGATGAAAATTGCCATGAAGATTAATAAGAGCTGCCTTTTTTTCTTTTTTGACTTATGTGCTGGAATTTTTCCAGCCTGTGTATTAGTAACCTGTGAAGTGTTAAGGGCTTGGAACAGTGCCTGGCACACAGCATCAGACCAAGTCTTGTTACTCCCACAAGCCTGGGATTTCAGGCATTAACATTTAAGAGGAGGGTAAAACAGAAAGTGTGAGTCATATTAAGGAGAACTCTTAAGTAAATAATAATGCAATCATTGGAAAGGAACTCAGGTTTGGGAACCACAGGTGACTGAGTCAAGGTGGCTTTGGAGTCAGACAGATCTTGTGTGAAAGCCCAGCTCTTGCTTACAGCTGTGTGACCTTGGCCAGTCACTTCTCTCACGTGCCAGGGCTCAGCCCTCTTCTCCACAGAGCCTTCCTTGATCCCCCACCCCAGACTCAGGCACCCCCTGGGCTCCCCCATTCCAGCCCTACCAACCCTGAGTCATCACTGCTCAGGCAAGAGTCTGTCTTCTTCTCGGGCTGTGTACCCGTGAAGGCAGGGCCAGGGCTGTCTTGGTCATTGCTGCGTCCTCAGGCTGCCAATCAAATAATATTTACTGAGCGCTTATTATGTGCCAAGTACCAGCATATTTTCATTGCCTGTGACTTCATCATTATCCCCAGTTGACAGATAAGGAAACTGAGGCATAGACCTGCCCAAGGCCACTCAGCTGCTCAGGGACAGAGCTGGAGTTTGAACTATACCATCCTGTACCCTTAATGAACACCCCTTCTCTGCTGCTGAGGGGTTTGTTCGGTGACTGCTAGTGAGAAGTGACCTGTCCTGTTTGCTTCTCTCCCAGTTCAGCCCCAGAACACAGCTGAGCCCTGGATGGAACCACCCAGTCTGTTCACCTCAGAGCCTGTGCCTGTGGCCCGCTGCATGTCCACAGGGGGTCGCCCAGCTGCCCAAATCACCTGGTCCTCATACCTAAATGGAACAGTCAATAACAGCCAGATAGCAGGGCCCCTGCCTGGCACATTCACTGTCATCAGTTTCTTGACCGTGGTGCCCTCAAGCCAAGTGGACGGCAAGAACATCACCTGCAGAGTGGACCACGAGAGCTTCAAAGAGCCCCGCGTGCTGCCTGTGAACCTCACCGTGTTCTGTAAGTGTGCCCAGGTGCAGGCGAGGGGAGAACTGCTGCCAGGCTGCCTCCATTGCCTCTTCATCTACACTGACTCCTGGGACACTCTTGACGTGCCTCTGTCATCTACACTCACTCCTCTGACTGTTGTGAATGTCCATCCCACGTTCACTGTCTAGACCAGCTGCCCTGGGCCCCTGACAACACCATCCCTGTTGTCCACACTAACTACTTAGGCCACTGTCAATGCTGTTACCCAGGCCATCTACCCTGGCTCCCTAGCCACTGTCTACACTGATACACCACACTGTCTATACTGGCCTCCGTGAGCACAGCCTACACTGCCCCCTACACATTGCCTACGTCTGCTTCCCTGGGCAGCTGTCTACACTGGCCTTCCCCACAGTGCTTACTGGTTCTCTCCATTAGCACTGCTTCCCTGCTGTCTATACCCACTCCCTTATCCATTTTCTACACTGCCTTCCATTGTCTACACTGGCTTTTCTGGACCACAGATAATATTTCTTCCACTGGCTATACCAGCTATTCAGGGCACCAGCTGTGAGGAGTTGTCATTGTTCCCCATGTTGTCTAGACTAGCTCATGCGACCACTGTCTATGTGGATACCCTACTTGTTCTACACTAGTTCTCCCAGGCACTCTCCAGTGCCCCCAACGCTGTCTATGCAGAATGCCCTGGAGAAGTGTCTATGCCCACCCCCCACATCGTACATACCAGTTTCCCTGAGCCACGGTCACTGTCTCTGCCGTGTTCTAACCATATTAGCCTTCGCATTTTTTACACTGGCTCCTCTGGGCAGTATCTATACTCCCCCCACCCCTGGTGTGGCCTACACTTCTCTCTGCCCAATATTGTCTACACTGGCTCATCTATAGGCTACCTACCCTCCCCCCACATTGCCAACCACTGGCTCCCCTATGTCCTGTCTACATAGCCTCCATCTACATCTGCCCTAATATTCCATTAGTGTCACTTCCACTCACTCCCCTGCATGTTGTCAGCATAGACACCTGCAGACTCATCAGCACTGACAACCCTAGGGACTCTAAGCAGCGCTGTCCAACAGGAGCTGGGTGCATGCTGCATGTGGGATTTTCAGTTTTCTGGTAGCCACCCCATTAAACAAATTAAAAGAAAAAGATGAATTTAATTTTAACAATTAATTTTATTTTACCTAATATACCCAAGGTATTATAATTTCAACATGCAGTCAGGTGTTGAAGATTACTCATGAGATCTTTCACATTCTTTTTGCCATAGTTTGTGGCCAGCAGTTTCCATGTTGGACAGCACAAATTTAGACCAAGCTCCCAAACTGTCTGCCCTGGCTCATCCTGACACTATCTACAGTACACACATGCACACATCTGCAAACACACTGAGCCTGTCTTAATGTCACCAGCTCCCTGGACACACTGATATCACCCCTCCTGTGACATTTTCAACACTGGCTCCTACACAATAGCACCTGCTCTGATATCCCAATACTCTGTCTACACTGAGCCCATCAGTATATCCACACAAGCTCACCTAGCCATTGCCCACACTGTCCCTCCCATCGTTGTCTATACTGGCCACTTTTCCCCTGGCCGGGCAGTTGGTACACTGATTACCTCAGGCCTGCCTGTACTGGGGACCCTCTCAACATTGTCACTGGGTCCGAGGGAAGAAGAGGTCTATACTGAGGCCCACCCATCCCACAAAAGACCCTGTCTCACTGGCCTTCCTCGTGAGGTCTTTGAAAAGTCTTCCCTGTCAATCACTTCTGGGATGGCTGAGCAGGAGGTTGGAGCAGGCCCATCTAGGCCCCTTTCCCACAGGACATGTCAGAGCTTTGAACATGTTCCTGTGTGTTATGAGTACCCAAGAGGCCTTTTCTCACAGGACACCCAAGACACACCTAAACCAGACTACTCGGGAAAACTAGAAAGGCAGGTCCTTAGGGCATCGCCCATAGCTCAGTAGGTAGGGCGCCAGCCACATACACCATGCCTGGTGGGTTCGAACCTGGCCCGGGGCCAGCTAAACAATAATGACAACTACAACAGAAAAATAGCCAGGCACCGTGGGGAGGGGGGCACCTATAGTCCTAGCTACTTGGGAGGCTGAAGCAAGAGAATCGCTTTGGCCCAAGAGTTGGAGGTTGCTGTGAGCTGTGATGCCACAGCACTCTACCCAGGACTACATAGTGAGACTCTTGTCTCAAAAAAAAAAAAAAAAATAGAAAGGCAGGTCTTGAGAAGCCCTCTCTGTGCCCCACTGACCTAGGACTCCCAGGCTTTCCAAGGGAACCCCACTGTTCCAGACGCTTCACAGGTCTCTAGCTCTGGCTGTTCCCCAAACATGCTGAAGCCTTTTCCTATTATGATATAAATTCCACATACCTTCAGGCCCCTCTGAAGGCTCCCTGAACCTGTGTGTCCATTTCCCCCAGACCCCCCTGAGGTCAGCATCTCTGGCTATGATGGCAAATGGTACCTCAACCAGCCTGAGGCCAACCTGACCTGCAATGTCCGAAGCAACCCAGAGCCCACGGGCTATAACTGGAGCACGTGAGTACTGAGTAGACCTGGACCCTGGGTCTGAGGGAGGGGGGCGGGAGGCCTGGACCCCTGGGTCTGAAGGAGGAGGGACTGGGGTTGGACCTTGGGTCTGACAGAGAAGGGATGGGGGCTGGACCCCTGGGTCTGAGGGACGGGGGCGGGGGGCCTGGACCCCTGGGTCTGAGGGAGGAGGGATTGGGTTGGACCTTGGGTCTGAAGGAGAAGGGATGGGGGCTGGACCCCTGGGTCTGAGGGAGGAGGGACCAGGGCTGGAGGAGGAGGGACTGGGGCTGGACCCCTGGGACTGAAGGGGGAGGGGCTGGGGCTGGACCCCTGACTCTAAGGGAGGAGGGGCTGGAGCAGACCCCTGGGTCTGAGAGAAAGGGGAAATTCAGGAAAAGACAAAGAAAAAATGTTGACTTTGGGCCCCCAGTAAAATCTGTCTTGCAATTGCGGAGTTCAGGTTTGGTCCAAGCTTACAAATGCACCTGCTCTTTAGGGCGTGCCTGCTCTGTGCTCTCCCCCTCACCACACGTGACTACACTCTGCACAGTCAGCTCAAGATAAAGATCCACCAGGAGAGAGCAGATATGACTTGTGTAACCTACTCAGTTATCTCTGAGAAAGCAAGTACTGTCTCCATTGTCTCAAAGAAAAAGTTGAGGCTCAGAGCAACAAGAGTTCCCGAAATCCATACCGAAGCTGTGATTAAGAGTAGGAGAAGCAAAGGGATGAATTATTTTACATCATCATCATTTTATTGGGCCTTTTTCCTCATTACAAAAACAAATTGTGTCCTTTGTGGAACTTCAGACAGCATAGTTATGAGCAATGAGGAGAAAGTAACACCTGTATTCAACTGCACCCAGCCACCTTCAGAAATGTCCACTGTCACCCTTTGTTATATATCCTTCCTGTCTTTTATCTCTATGTTTTTGTCCTGTTTGTTTTATTGAGAGAGCGTCTCACTCTCACCCTCAATAGAGTGCTGTGGCATCATAGCTTAAAACAACTTCAAATTCTTGGGCTCAAGCGATCTTCTTGACTCAGCCTCCCAAGTAGCTGGGACTACAGGCACCTGCCAACAATGCCCAGCTAGTTTTAGAGACGGGATCTCACTCTTGCTCAGGTTTGTCTCAAACTCCTGAGCTCAAGCAATTCACCTGCCTTGGCCTCCCAGAATGCTAGGATTATAGGCATGATCCACCACAACCAGCCTTATCTCTACATTTCTAAACAAAAGCTAGAATTGTGCCATATGTACAAGTTGAAATTTTTCCTCTATCTTGTGAACACTTTGCCATGTCAAAGAACATGGATTCATAATCTCCTTTTCCCTGGCATTTTATTAGGAAAACATTTATTTATTTGTTTATTTATTTATTTATTCCTTGGTAGAGTGCTGTGGCATCACAGCTCACAGCAACCTCCAGCTCTTGGGCTTAAGCAATTCTCTTGCCTCAGCCTCCCAAGTACTGGGACTACAGACGCCTGCCACTACACCCAGCTATTTTTTGTTGCAGTTGTCACTGCTGTTTTTAGCTGACCAAGGCCAGCCTAGAACCCGCCACCCTTGGTATATGGGGCTGGCGCCCTACCCACTGAGCCACAGGTGCCGCCCAAAAACTTTTAAACATACAGAAAAATCATAAGAATTTTCCAGTGGACACTTAAAGTCTATTACATAGATTCTCCCACTAACATTTTACTGTGCTTGCTTTAACACGTTCTGTCCACCAGTCTGTCCCTCTATCCATCTATCAGTCTGTCTTATTTTTAATGCATTCTGATGTACCCACAACCCCTTTTTCAATGTCACTGGAACTCTGTCATAAGTGTATGCCATCAATTATTTAACGTGTCCCTAACATGGGATATGACAATCGCTTTCCATTTTCAACTCTACAAAAGCCGTAGTGGTGGCCATCATCGACCATTCACCTCTGTGGGTAGCCCAGTCATTTGTCAATTGTCAGTGGAAGGAATTACTCATCAGAGTCTCACTTTGTTGCCCCGGTAGAGTGCCATGGCTTTATACAGAGCTCACAGCTACTTCAGACTCTTGGGCTCAAGCGATCCTCTTGCCTCAGCCTCCCAAGTAGCTGGCACTACAGACACCCACCAAAATGCCTGGCTATTTTTAGAGACAGGTCTCACTCTAGCTCCAGCTGGTCTTGAACTCATGAGCTAAGGTGATCTGACCGCCTCAGCCTCCCAGAGAGCTGGGATTACAGTCATGAGTCATTGTCAAAGGTTTTCAGTTGGTGTTGACAGAGGTCCTGCCTCTAAGCTCTGCAGTTCAGGCTCTTGTCCTGGAGGCTAGGTTTGCACCCAGCACTGCAGAGCGCCTCCACCTTTGTGCATTAAGCCCACATTCTTTGCTCACTCTGTGCCAGGTGCTATTGGCACATATGTCAACATGCACTGGTTAAGGAAACCCACCAAATTTCTTCCCTTTGTGGAGCTTCCATTGTGGTGAGGGAGAGAAACTACAAGCAAGATAAAGTTGTAAACTGCATAGTGTGTCTAGGGGAAGAGATGTTGCAGAGGATAAGAAGGGTGGTCTTTGCACTTGAAATAGGGTGGCCAAGAAAGGTGCCGTTAAGGTGACATCTGAGCAGAGACCTGAAGGAGGTGAGGGTTAGTTATGTGGGTACCTAGGGAAGAGCATTCAGGCAGAGGGAACAACATACGCTAACCCATTTCTGTCCGTCAGTCCTTGAATATGCAAACACCCTGGAAGCCTAACTGAACTATTTGAGGATCAACAAAGAAGCCACTGTGGATAGAGAGGCGGGGAAAAGGGGGCAGAGTAATGGATAATGCGGGCAGAGGTGGGAGGGGAAGGGCAGATCACGTGAGGCCTGTGGCCTGGGAGCACTTCGGTTTCATTCCCAGTGAGACCGGGCTGCTGGAATAAGAGGTTTAAGAGTTGGCTTAGAGCTCACAGTCGACCTCTGGTGGCCATGTGGGGAACATACAAGGGAGCCGGGACAGAAAGCCCACCAAGAAGCCCCACCCCCTGCTGTGTCCAGGCGGTGGTCCTGAGGAGCTGCTGGACTCTGAAGGTGGGGCCGACAGGATTTACCGGTGTGTCAGATGTAGGCATGAAAGGAAGAGGAGCCAGGGGACCCTAGAGTTGCTCTCAGCTTACATCATACGCGGCATGAGGGTTTCTGGCACTACATGAGAGCTCAGTTGCTGTCACTTTAGACCTCCAGCAGAGACTTCTCCCTCACCTGTCTGTCTCTCCCAGGACCAATGGTTCCCTACCACACTCTGCTGTGCCCCAGGGCGCCTGGCTCCTGATTCATCCTGTGGACAAGTCAATCAACACGACTTTCATCTGCAGTGTCACCAATGACATAGGGACTGGCCAGGGGGAACTGGCCATCCTGGTCAAAGGTGAGGAGCTCCCTGGGTGGGGAGAACAGAGGAACCAAAGGATTCTCTCTGACAGAGAGGCTGAGGGTGGTCCCTGGTGAAGGGAAGCACTCAGAATACTCTCTGACTCCCATCCTTCTCCTAAGCTTTCTCCTGAAAGGACTAATGGGGCCAGCTTTACTCTCCTGTCAACTTAATATCTGTACCACTGGTACCATTGTCTAGCCATCTGGATATACCCCTTAACAAACCCAAGCAGGGGCTCGGCGCC